TACTGCGCTTTAAAACGCCCAAACGTCCGAGGCGTGAGCTGTATGCGCTGCGGTGGCCGAGCCCTGCAGCCAGCGGCGATGGCCGGCACTTCCGCAAAATTGACGCTGCTACGAATAATCTCTTTGCGGTTTAAAAAGGCAAAAAGTTGCAATTTCCTAACTTGATTCAGTGCACACCCAGCATGAAGCTATGTAGGAAGGTTAAGAAGAGCTCGATTGATATTCAAGACACACAAAAAAACAAACTGGATTTTTATCTTCTATCAGCCTCCGTGGGAAGCCACTACAATTTAACAGCTAATAAATTTTTTTGCTGCACCCACTTTCATGTATCTTTCGTATAAGTTCAGTGATTCAGACTCTCCAAATTCAGACGAAAAGCTGTGAGAGTCAACTTCTTCAGTGATTAACAACTACCTTGCTTGATGAAATTAATTTATTTTTTGGTATGTGTCACGGATGGAGTGAGAGGCAGGCAAAAATAATGTGGTTTATTGGTGTGAAACAGTGAATTAACAATGTTCAGTGGTAAATGCGACAATAGTTTATGAGATGTGATGGCAAGGTACGCTTTGTTATTTACTGCACAGAGGACAGGGTCAGACAAGACTGTCAGGGAGACCCTCCCGTTGAGTCATGAGGTTCAGAAAAGATCCCCTTGCTTTCTAAACTCCCTCAGAGAGGATGCTAGTTGCGGCTGTATCCAATCCTAGTCCCAGACTTGGTCAACGGTTTATGTCTAAAGGATTATATATGTGCAATTAATCCTTTATGTCACTTAGCTAAGATTTCCAAGTTAGTATGCTGCTAGGCACTTACCGACAATCTGTTGTGGTAAGGAATCTCTCAACCTCGAGGAGTAACCTTGAGAGGTGTCCCTGCTCAAGGGGAGATCCTGGCGTGCAGCCCGCTGCTGTGCAGGAGAGCTCAAAGGGCTCTTGGGCTGCTCACTATTTATGGGGGTAAGATAATTGGCTCATAGTCATATTTGCATACTGACCACTGTGCTTAGATGGGCACATTCCACAATAGCCCTTGGCTATTGCATTGTTATCTGTCTTCCCCCACATCCAGTGGGTGCATCCTTCAGGACCAGACACATCTATCACCACCGCCGCCACAGGTGGTTATCACTTGAAGGAGGTCAAAGGAGGGGGAGTCAGAGATGAGGGGGGAGCACACCGCCACAGTATGATATGACAAATTTCACATACCATAAAATGAGGTTCTCTTTATAATTTTGAGGTGACTTTAAAGACTTCCTCGCTGGTTCTGGGTCTTAAATATTCATGAAGTGTTGCTTGTTAAAGCTGTAATATTGCTAAAGGTAAAGAATAGTGTTCAAAATACCTTTGGAAGGGGTTTTTTTTGGGCCAAACTGCAATTGTTAGCTCACATGTTATTGTTGTTAATGCCTTTTGCAATCATTATATCCTCATGCTTGGAAGTTCTACTTTTACAGATGCACAATGAAAACAGAAATCAAAACTGATTTTTATCTTATTTTTGCAACACAACTAAAAAGCTGCTGAATTGTTATGGCATTGGTGGAAGTGTTGATTTAAATAAAGGCTATTGCAAAAGAATAACTTTGAAGCAATTGAGCTAGAAACACTGTCAAGAGCAATCATTTTCTTTTTTATCTGATTAGTCTCAATTGTTCTTGAATAGCCTCACTAAGAGTCCATGTATATTTTAATTAAATATAATACTCAATATGATAGTAGCATCAGGATTGTCCATGGTGTAATGTTTTGGTTTTGTTGCAACTCATAGGCTATGTCCTATGTCAAGATTTCATCTCTAACCCCTAAAACCTTTCTAGTTCAGTGCTCTTGCCTCTTGTACAGCTTTTCTTTTATAATAGAGCCTTGGTGTATTTGAGCTAGTAAATGTTCCTTCCACCTTTCCTTTTTCTTCACCATCAGTCAGGTTCTACTTAGGCAGATAGATGCAATTGTAGTAATTTACTTCCAAATTTGCTTCTAAAAGCTGATGTGTGTGAGCTTATCAAAAACCTTTTCAAGCAACACTTTCACTATGCTTTGGTAAAACATGAATTTGGAAACTCAAAATACATGCATTAGCATTGTTAATATGCTTCATACCTAAGGGGTGAACCTGTGATCAAATGTCACCGTGGCATACCGGGTGGCTGCTTGTCTAGTGGCACATGGTGATGATCTGCATGTACGTGCCAGCCTAGCTGAATTGTTCCTCTCATGTCACAGTTGTGGGCTATCATACCATAAAGCTCCTGCATTTGACTGGTTCACTGTTATATCTCATTGTTCAGCCTCCTACTATTTCAAAAGTCACAAAACCAAAGCTGTAACTTGTCCCTGTGAACAAGATTTTTGTGATCATCTGTTGTAACCAGTCAGTCTTACACCAAATTGTCTAGTGGTCTGTTTAGAATCTAACACTTCAGCCTCAGTGCTATGTTGAGGAAGAAATGTTAGCCACAAGAGTCAGGAAACTAGAGATGCTGTGCCCTTGTGGTATTTTCTTTTTTAACATTGTAATTTAAAGAAACAGCACCTGAAGTGCCTCTACTGTCAATGTATTTTATAGATTTTTATAGATTACTAAGTTTATAGAAGTTATATTTTCAAGTTGACCGTTCAGATCAACTATATAGGTAGCACAGACATTCAGTGCAGTAGCACTACTAAATGAGTAATAGCATTTCATGCTTTTAGTTTTCAGCCCATGGTCATTTCCATGCTTTTTGGCAGAAATTGTTGCAAACATCCCTTCAAGGAAAATTGTGTGAGCTGTCTTTAACTTGATGATGAAATGAAATGCTCGCCATCAGGTTTCTAAACTTTTAATACACCTCTATCAAACTTTCCTTAAAACTCAGAGTAAAAATGTGTGTAGACTTTTTTCCAAAAAAATAAGATGTTTTGTCTGTCCTATTAAATTCTATTCACAAATTCTATTCAAATGCATTAGGAATATAAAGGTTCTGATATTGCTGACTACTGTTCTGCTATTAGTAGGGTCTATTAGTATTTCTGGTGCTTTAGAGTGTTGTCATTAGTGTGAGATGTAGGCTTCATGTAGGAATTTTTCAAAGTTCATTAGTTTGATTCATTGTTGCCTTACTTTTCAATTACAAGTTTTTCCTTTTTTGAAGGTTCTTATTTATACAACTATTTGGTATGTTTAATCTTCTAGCTTTCTGCCGTTGAACAATATTTTCTAATGCAAGTTAGCTGTGTACACATCTAAATGATCTTAAAAGTGTTTACGGACTTATTAAAAAAAAAAGTATGTAAACAAACTAAAAGCTATAGACAGTTGAGTTGTCCCGCAGTGGGTGGAAGGAGAAACAAGGTCTGGAAACTGCCAAATGGCAGCAGTGTTTTCTTAAACAATTATTAAAGAAATTAAATTAAAAGCTTTATGTTCCTTTTACACAATTATACTATTCTGGATCCTTAAACTGAGTGGTGTTACTGCTTTGTCAGTTTCTGTTCTTGCTAGCAATGATATCAGCCTGATATTCTTAACTCATGTCTTTTTAGGCCTTTTAATGCCTCCGAACGTAAAGCAAGCTCCTATGCTGTTGTAGACTGTGATCAAGCAAGAAGGGAAGTTAGTGTCCGCACTGGAGGAGTGACAGATAAGACATCAAGAAAGACTTACACATTTGATATGGTAACTGTTGGGGACCTCTCTAAACAAGCTGTACATTTCTCTAATGTGGCCCAATTACTGTACTGTGTGATGCTATGCATTCCCGTATGGCTAAATGGGATGTGTTGTCTTTGCCTCAACAGGTTTTTGGAGCTCAGGCAAAGCAGATTGATGTATACCGGAGTGTTGTGTGTCCCATTTTGGATGAAGTTATTATGGGCTACAACTGTACAGTGTTTGCGTAAGTAAGCCAATAATTATTATTAGGAAGTTTTATTTGAATTTTAGTTTCTTGTTTACATTTTAATTTTTTATTCTCACAGTTATGGCCAAACTGGTACTGGTAAGACCTTCACAATGGAAGGGGAGCGGTCACCCAATGAGGAATATACTTGGGAAGAGGTATACTTTCACTCCTGAGATTTCTCTTGTCTGTACTATAGTTCAAAGTTAGAAATTGCAGAAGGCTAAAGAAAAGCTAAAGTTGATGCCTTTCAAATCCTAAAGCTGACTTGCTTTAAATGTTTGTAAATTAACAAATCATCTCATTCATCTATATGAAAATAAAAACTTCAATGCATGCATATAAGTCTTGGCGATATGTATATGAAGATGATCTTTGTCCAAGGTATTCTTGCTTTTATAAAATCAGACTATTTAGCTGAAATTCCACTCCCTACCCACAAATCTTTCAGTGCATTTATGTATTAAGTACTTCACTTCAATTTGTAGGATCCGCTAGCAGGTATAATACCCCGTACATTGCATCAAATATTTGAGAAACTCACAGAGAATGGTACCGAATTTTCAGTGAAAGTCTCTCTTTTGGAAATCTATAATGAGGAGCTTTTTGATCTTCTGAATCATACTCCTGATGTTGGAGAAAGACTGCAGATGTTTGATGACCCTCGAAACAAGGTTAGTGCTGTCTTCCAAATTTGTTACCTTAAGGCTTTCAGGGTTGTTGAGAGATGTATAATAAGTATACATTATTTTCTGACAGAGGGGTGTAATTATTAAAGGCTTGGAAGAAATAACTGTACACAATAAAAATGAAGTCTACCAAATCCTGGAAAGGGGTGCAGCAAAAAGAACAACTGCAGCTACTTACATGAATGCATATTCCAGGTACAAATCTTCCCCATTTCAGAAACTTTGCATTGTTCTCGTTTTATTAAACAGGATCTTACTGAAGAAGTAAAGGATATTGAAGCTGGTGCAAAACTAGCATGATCTTGAGATTGTGTATTGCAGTTCAGATTGCCAAATATGGGTTAGAAAGTCATAGTTAGAACTTCTTATCACAGACTGTGGGGTGATTCTAATAGGTGTATGAAGGGGCATTATAAAATCTGAATGCCTCTCAAATTAAAAATGGGCAAGCTGTTTCTCTCTGCATGATTTTTTACATAAGCTTCCCCTCTTGTTTAGAGTTTGTATGCTTTTTTTATGAATACATCCCTTGTTAATATGCAGTGTCTAGTTGGAAGAGTAGCCCTGGCATTCCACGTAACTAGCTGAGATATAAGTAGCAGACTGTTCTTAATCCGGTATCTAAAATAGTGAAATTATAATTATAACTCGAAGTTAAGAAGTTAACTTTTCCAAAGCTTTCTATGCCTATGGAAACAGAAGACAGCTGTTTGCCAGATACATAGCTGAAATACATTGTATGTACTAGCATGAGATAAATATTCTCTGCAGTAGATATTGTACATCTTCAAAAAGAAGGCTGTAGTCCTCTCAAGTTTGGATGATGTTTAGCTGATATACCTATATTAGAGAGGTGGATTGTCTGTCTTCTAGCTGTTCTGGGTGGTTAGGGTTTTTTGCCAATCCTGTTTACTAAATAAAACCTTAGTGTAAGAGTCTCAAGTATCTTTTCTCTCCTGACCAGCAGTAGAAAATGGTATGTTAGGTATGTTTTTTACAGGTCAACACAAGACCCTGTTCTTAAACCCCAGCTTCTGAGAACTTGCAAACTGGACTGTGGAAGTTAGGGATAGGATTGAGGGGTTTTTTTTTGTCTGGCAATGCAGGCTACTTCATATGATTGCAGCTTGTAGTCAGAGTCTAGTAGAGACACCTTGGTCAAAAATACCGTTGTTTATTACTGATTTCTAATTCTTAAACTGGAGATGTGATATCTATGTTACTGAATAAATAGTGATCCAGTGTTGCAATAAGCAAGAAACACCCTGCCTATGTCATATCTTAAATTAAAGGTATACTGAGCACAGCTGTCTACTGTTGCAAGGGAATGGGTATTTGGCTACCACAAATTAGAACACAGAACTAGTTTCAACTGCAATCACAGGGAATTTAAAGAATTCATTCTGTCTGAATGATTGCTTTATGCATGGTCAAACTAGTATAATTTGACATCTGTGGCTTTCTGTACATGTCAGCTTCCTATTGTAAGAACTTATTAAAGGAATAAGCTCGAGCTAAAATGATCTTAAACTGTACTACTGTTTTGAATGAAAACTGAGCTGAACTTCTGAATTTTTAATATTGGATTCAACTGCTTGCTGATTTTCTTAGCCTCAATAAAGAAAAGTAAATTCCTTAATCTTGCATTCTGTAAAACGGTTCTTAGTGTATTGGCTAAAAAAAAAATCTACAAGCCAGTTTTCTTGACGTGTCTGGGTGCTTGCTGATTTTCTTAGCCTCAATAAAGAAAAGTGAATTCCTTAATCTTGCATTCTGTAAAACTGTTCTTAGTGTATTGGCTAAAAAAAAAAATCTACAAGCCAGTTTTCTTGATGTGTCTGGGTTGAGAACACACAAATGTAAACAAAACCAAAGTATTTCTCTTGGTTTTGCTTGAAATAAGATAAAAATTATCAGGACTGAATGAGGCAAGTGTCATCCAGTTGCTTCATCACTAGTTTTAAGTACTGTACTCATATGTATACACATAAAAATATACTTGGTAGAATAACTTTGTGTACTGAAAATGTGTAAGTCCCAATTAATGGGCTGCATGTATTCCCTAAAAAGAGCATGGATGCCAACTTTGCAGCAGTGTCATGTAGCAAGCAGATCATTTGATTTTAATGGGATGTCTGTCTGAAAACTGAATTCTTTTATAGCCGTTCCCATTCTGTGTTTTCGATTACCATCCATATGAAAGAAACGACAATAGATGGAGAAGAACTTGTTAAAATTGGGAAGCTAAATTTGGTAAGTATTTGAACTAAATGTCATTTGCATTCTTAAAGTAATGAACTAGAATAATCTGACCTCATTCTCCTGAGAATCTAATGTGGGTTTTTTCCTATAAGAGGAAAAAATTTTTTTTTTCCATAAAGTGATATGAACTGTATTTGTTGCTCTGAGAAATGTCAGTTCCATTTGTCACCCAATGTCTCCTGAACAACTCATAAGGTAGTTGGTGTGTTGTGTTCTGCAACACTATGGTGCAAGCGTTCTTCAGGGTGATTTGAGACAGGAGCATGTCCTTCCTCTTGTCTTTCAGGTTGATCTTGCAGGAAGTGAAAATATTGGTCGATCTGGGGCAGTTGACAAAAGAGCTCGTGAAGCTGGAAATATCAACCAGTCTCTCCTGACACTAGGAAGGGTTATTACTGCCCTAGTAGAAAGAGCCCCACATATTCCATACAGGGAATCTAAACTCACAAGAATCCTTCAAGACTCTCTTGGAGGACGAACAAAAACATCAATAATTGCCACAGTTTCTCCTGCATCAATAAATCTTGAGGTAAATTTAAGTCTGAAAAACTATTCCTAAAATAGATATTATATTTTGCTTATGATACAAAGTTACGAGTTAACTTCTCAGCTTGACCTAGTGTTACATCTATTTATCAAAGGAAACACTGAGTACACTGGAATATGCCCACAGAGCAAAGAACATAATGAACAAGCCTGAAGTTAATCAGAAGCTAACAAAAAAAGCTCTTATTAAGGTAAGCTAGACATGTATCTTCACAAATTAAGTTACAGGTAAGGTTTGATTCTTTTAACATAGTTTTTGCTCTGCAGGAATTATGAAGTTGTGGAGAAGCTGTAATTAGAGCAGTGCTTTTCTGAGGTGATTTTAATCACTGATGCTTTCACACTAAGTTGCTCTACTGGTACAGCATTAGTCACTTTGCAGGTGCTGAAACTGTTGCTAAAACTAAAGCTGGGTAGAGAGGGCTATTGCTACTAGCTATGACTCTGTATGGATTACCTGTTTACAAGTTAGTGGAGAGCCACTAAATGACACTGGATATTTTCTTCTGGACTTGCTGTATTAGCAGCTTCATTCCCTAGAAAATGCCTGAATTAATATGAATGAAGAGCCCATATAAAGTTGGGGCTGTTGCTAAAGAAGCTGCGATTCCTGTTGTAAGATGTTCTATACAACCAAGTCAGGTTCAAATGGGAGGTTTCAATGCTCTACGTATATCCAAAGGTAGGAATTTAAATGGTGCTATGCTGAACTTATTTGGAACAGAAGTGAAATGCTTTGCTCCTGTGCTTATGCAAAGCTTCCATAGGACACTACTTTTGTGAAGTATCTGTTAAGCTAAATCTTGAAAGCAAAGCAGAAATTTTCAGGTTTACATGTGATTGTTTCTTTGTACAGGAATATACTGAAGAGATTGAGCGTCTGAAGCGAGACCTTGCTGCTGCACGAGAAAAAAATGGAGTCTATATTTCCCTTGAAAATTATGAGTATGTCTTCAAAATTTCTATAAAATTACTAACGACAAATCTCAGATACTGGTACCTATCTTATACAGAAATGCTTTCAGATCTATTCTCACACCAGAAAATTGAAGATAGGAGAATTTAACTGACTGGTCAACTTGGTCTTTAGAAATTAATTATTACCCAGATAGAAGCCTAAAGAGTAGGTTTGCACTGAGGATTTTATTTATATGTGGAACTTATGATAAGCGTAGCTGGGATGCAGATTTATACCATGCAGCCTTTCTTTAAGTGGAAGCTCATGTAGGAGAGCAAGCCAACTTGATATAGTTTACTTCACTTTACAAGAGGGCTACTTTACACAGAAAGTTTACAATGGAAAATTGTCTTAAATCCTTTCTGCATTAAGTGAAAATTACCTGCTTTTTCATACAGAAGTAACAATATTTAGTTTTTGAAATTACTAAATATGTAGTATAAAACCCAGTAGACAATCTTGAAATCAGCTCTTGACTAATCTGTTTTTATCCTTGCTTGAGAGCCCTTAATGAAAAGCTGACGGTTCAGGAAGAACAAATTGCAGAGTATATTGACAAAATCAGCATCATGGAGGAAGAAGTGAAAAGAGTAAGTGATGTTTCTCAACTGTGACTTAAATCTGCCAAAAAATGAAATAAATTTTTGGGGAAGGAGTAAAAAAGTTTGAGTTAAGAACAGTTTAAAGAGGTTTTGTTTTTAAAGTTCCCTAATTAGCTCCCTAAGGAGCTTCCTTATCCTTGAAGTTGAAATATCATATATGAATTTGCAGCATGCGATATTTGCTTTTAAAGCTGTTTTAATATCTACCACTTTGATTTGCTGGGTTTTCAGAAAAAATCTGCTTGTAAAATGGTATAGTCTCAAATGACGAACGTCTCCTTTAGGAGCAAAGAACAATGGGAGAGGGGAGAAGGTGATAAGCTCCCATTAACAAATTACACAGATAATGGGAGCCCCCTCTTTAAAAGAAATATGGATATTAATTTGCTGGAATATGTAATTGGAATTGGAATGTAAATGGAATGTGTAATCAGTTTTACTGACTCTTCTTCTTTCTATCTGCTTAGGTTTATTTAGTGGGATATTTTTTTTCTTGTGCTGTAACAATTGTTTGGTCTTGTGGTTTGAGTGGGGAAGCAAGGGATAATTACAGTGAAAATGGTGTTGGTTAGTGATATTTTCAGTGAATACAAAGACTATACAATCTAATCTAGGTTTAAGACTCTGAGCCTTACAGCTGAAACATTGGTAGATGACAACTTGCCTTCTGGTATTGTGTCATAATTTGAGATGTGAAGTGGGACCGTTGAACTTATAAAAAGCAGTGTTGCACTATTTATGTTTGTCTTCCATTTTAGATCACTGAACTATTCACAGTTAGTAAAAATGAACTTGAACAGTGTAAAACAGATCTGCAATTCAAGGAGAAAGAACTGGAAGAAACACAAAAAGATCTGCAAGAAACCAAGGTTCATCTGGCTGAAGAAGAATATGTGGTTTCAGTTTTGGAAAACACAGAACAAAAACTTCATGGCACAGCTAGCAAGGTTGTCACAGTTCTTGCACCTAACTGTAACAGTAACTTCCCATGTTTAGGAGTTTCATGGGCTGTTCAAGGAAATCATTGTTGCTAAAGTGTGATGCAAGTGTGACAAAACCTGAATTTAACATGGAAAACCTAGGTTTAGCACCCTCTAAATTATATTATGATGAAAAGCTACTTAAGATTTCAGGGCTTTCTCTGTGGTAATATTGACAATTGACTGCTAAGTAGGCTGGCTGGTCTGGAGCTACCTTTCCTTCAGACCAGTTTGTTGCCAGAGTTAGTGCTTTACGGTATCTATTGTCATGAGTTCTTTGGCAGAATAAATACTTTACTAGAAACTTACGGCTGGCCCAACAAGAGAGTAAGTTTATATATAACTGGAGTAGAAAAATAGCAAAAAACTTTGCAGAAATATGTGCAGTAATTTACACTCACTGAGTGAATAACAGAAACTGTTGCCCTGTCACCTCTATATTTTTAGGGCATGGTTTTGATGTGTTTGTAGGTTGTTCATAATTATTGAAACAGACTTGGTGTGAGGAGAGAATGTCCTGCTGTTTAAAGTGCAAAGCGATGGAACTTGCATCTTTAGTCAACATGAAAATTTCTTACTACTCAGGTTCCTGTAAGGTTGGAAGGGGATGCCTAGTTTTTTGCATGTGGGTTGTGGAGTGTGTGTGCGTGAGAGAAATGGGTGCAGAAATTATTTACTCTGTCGACAAAACCAAGAACCTACTCTATGTTCAAATTGGAAATTATTTATTGCAGAACTAGTACTGGAAACCTCTTGGTTGAGTACTATTAAAGAATATGATTACTGTCAAATCTTTCAGAAAAAGTTGAGGTGGTCAGGAATTTTTTTTCAGTTACTATTCTGTGATAAATGATATCTTAATTCCTTAAATACTGAGGATGTCCTTTATTAATGCTTTCATTTCAAAGTCAGTATAAATGGTCCCTAGTAGGTATTTTTTTCCTGTGTTCTGTGACCATAAATGAAATAATGCCAGGATTAAGAGCAGTTGTAATTTGATGTAAAGGGATATACCCGTCTTTCTAGAGAGATAATTTCTCCTTTAACTCCGAACTGCAGTTGCTTTTCCTTATATAATATATGTTTGACTTCTTTTTAAAGACTGACTAAAACAATTTTTAAAAATTGTAGTTACTCAGTACAGTCGAAGAAACTACAAAAGATGTATCTGGTCTTCATGCAAAACTGGACCGTAAGAAGGCTGTTGATCAACACAATGCTATTGTCCAAAATACATTTGCAGGACAAATGAATGTTTTGTTCAACAAAATACAAGATTCAGTTAGTGAAAACAGTTTGAAGCAGCAACAGATGTTGACATCTTACACAAATTTTATAGGTAAGTGTAATACCTGTATCAGTGTGTAATCCTAAAGTTTTGCAACAGTAGTACCAAAGACTGTTTCCTAAAACTGATCTCATTTAATAAATGGAAGAGGCTTTGTTTTAAGCAATGTAATAATTACAGTTGCACCGGTAATAATATATCTGGGATGATCAGTAGCCTTCCTGTGCTGTAAGAGGCAATAAAGTGATGAGCAATAAAAAGAGTTCCTATCTTACAATGGAACTTTAAAAAAAAAAAAAAACCAAACTGTAATGCTTCTTGATTTCTTTTGTAGGTGACCTCCTGTCTACCAGTTCTTCAGCAGCTAATATTCTTGCATCGGTTGTATCAGCATCTTTTGCTTCTGTTAAAGAATTGGTGTCTACTGAAGTTTCTCACATGTCTGAAAAAATAGCACAACATGAGAATCTGTCACTTGATTGTAAAGCTGAGCTGCTGAGATTAATTGTTAGTAAATTTACATGCTCTTATGTTACTTAAATATATTGAACTGTTCTTGATCAAAAGGGGTTCTGTGAATATTGTATAGTGGTTTTCTGATGCTCTCTACCTGTCTCTGCTTCAGCACTTGGCCATGATTATGTCCCTCCCTGCTTCCCCACCCAAGTTGCCACCACAAGCCGTAATGTATTGTATAGCAAATACTGTAATAGCAGAATATGTGGAAATGTATATGGATAGCTTCTTACAAATATAGATGAAGGAACAATCATATCCTGTTTTTTTTTTACCACTGTTCTTAGGAGGAGCATACATCTGGATTGGGAAAAGCATTAAATAGCTTGACACCAATGGTAGAATTTGTCCTGGGGCTAAACTGTCATTTTCAGAGTAACATGAAGAAATATTCTGCTGTGGCTGACAAGGTAATGCACATAACTTGTCTCTTACCTTGTGCTTTTCTATTTTATTTAATTCAGAGATAACCCTTTGGTGGTTTTTCTGCAGTGTGTAAGACTTTCTACTTCTGGTCTGGCCTTTTCTCCTGTATTCTGTCCCATGACTTCTACTTTTTAGCTCTTTCTTTCAGACTTCTTTTCCACTTCTGAGTGTGGTGTATTTGTTACCTGTATTGGTGCAATTGCTCACCTAAATACCACAGAGAATGGTAAAATGTGGATGCTTAAGGCTATATGTAACAAATATTTGATAATATCCTTAATATAGCCTCTCCTGTATTTTATAAATCTAAAATAACCAACTTAGACAAGTCAGATCACTCCCAATTTCTTCTGCTGTCATACAAAACTTCTTCTGTAGTCACTTTGATTCCTGGCGAATGTGATGCTATATTATGTTAACAGTAACCATAGGTGCAGACAACACTGCACTTATAAAAAAGTCCTTTGCTTCAATTTTTAGTTCCAGTCTGTCTCATGATGTTTATGTAGAACTGCAGCCTCACTATTTCATTCCTTTCTTTTTTTTCATTTTGTCAAAACCAAATCTTTGTTCCTGGTGAACTGTTGCTCTGACTGAAAAATTTCCCCCTTCTGTCAGTTACAAATCATGTGAAATCAACTCCCCTTGTCTAGAGGCTTTTTATTGGTTTTCAGACTTAGATAGGAAATAGTCTGTGGCTTACCAGCTCTTGCTTCTTGCTCCTGTCATAACCAAGTACCTTGTCTGCATCTTCCTATTTTGTTCACCTCACGTGCCAAATTCTGTATTTGGAAAAGCCCACACCAATTTCCAGTCTGTAACTTCAGATTGCTCTAAGTGTTATTTCCTACCTCTTATACACAATACTTTACTAGTGCCTTTGACAATTTCCTTGGGGTAGAGTTTGTTTCTATATAAATTATGCTAGGGAAAAGCATCCAGTTCTTCCCTAGAGGCAAGTATCTAACCAAATAAAACTTTTTTCAAAGATGGAGTCTCATAAAAAGGAAATGGATACCTTCTTTGGTGAGCTTTCTCTCACTCTGAAAAAATTACGGGAAGAAACGGCCAGTGTTTTTGCTCAGCTTCAGAATGATTGTGAGAACTTAAAAGAAGAAGTGGAAATGACGAGGTTGGCTCAAACAAAGGTATACTTAGAGTAACAAGAAATCCTAACACAAAGCATGATTGCTTGCTTTGATTTAAACTCTTTGTAGCAGTAAACTATTGTACTTGCTTCAGAAGAAACGTTAGGACAGTAACTTGATGATCCTAATTCTTTTCAGCCTTTGGGCTGCTTTAAGAAGCTTCTGTACAAAGGTAACAAAATTTGCCCTTGCACTAAGCATGTGCAGTATATATGCCTTTTTATATATCTCCAAAAGCAAAGTGTCTGTATCTTGTCTACACAAAAATTGTGCCTTAGAATGACAAAGCTCTTTTATTTGCTGCGTTTTTAATAAAGGTATTCGAGTACCCTTTAAGAATGTTAAAAAGTGCAGGATAATGGTGAAATGTATGGCATTTTTCTTAATAGAGCACAGCTGAACTAATGTCCTCGCTGCAAAGCCAGCTTGACCTGTTTGCTCAGGAGACTCAGAAGAACTTAACTAATGTGCTCGCAAAAAATGGAAGCCTGAAGACAACCATCACTGCTGTGCAAGAAAATGTTCACCTGTAAGGAGCCTATTACTTTTGGTGTATACTGATGCAAGATAAAACTGTGTATGAAGAGGACTGCAAATTTAGATGCTCTTCATATTTATAGGCTTATAAAGTCTTCTTCTGGACAAGACCTATATATTAGAGCTGAGTTCTGCCACAGAATGTAGATCATAATTCACCTTTCCCCAGAGTAAAAGGTAGCTCTGCAAGGTTTTTCCTTAAACTTGTCTCTTGAGCACGTTGCAGCTAAGAGACCATGGGTTTGGGAGCAGTATGCTGATGAACGGCCCTCAGTATGGCTGCACTTCGGAACTTTATACCATAAAGGCTTAGCTTGAAGTGCACTAGTGTATTGCAGCATGCTTCATTCAGTTGCAGACTGAATGACTAGGGTCTTGCCAAAGTTGTTGGGTTTTAGTCTGTAGTTTCGGGGGTTTTTTTAGGGGATTTAACAAGCCTGCTCAGAGTGCTGCAATTTAGATATATTTAGATAGTGCTGCAATGTGAATAGAGCAACAACCTTACAATTAACTGGTTTGACAGAACTGCACTACTTCACTAGTTCTGGTCTCAGATATTTCTAAATGTAGAATGTGTTAAAATTCACCTTTCAAAATCTCTGAACCATTACAAATATGTTGTTGCAGGAAAACTACAGACCTAGTGAGCAGTACAACTTCCAATCACAGCAAATTTATTGCATCTCTGGATGATTTCTCTCAAGAACTCAGGATTATAAATGCTGAAAACAAGATGATGCTAGAAGAATCCACTGACCGCTGTCAACAACTTCTCAGCAATTTCAAAAATGTGTCTCAGGATACTGATAAATGGGGTGAATTTACAACTGCTCAGATAGTTAACTTTACCAATCAGCAACTATTGTCTTTCAATGATGAGAAACGGCAACTTCATTGTTTACAAAAGGTACCTATAGTTGAATGTAGTCTAATACAACATTCTGAAGCAAACTTTTACTGTAGAACTTGTAAGGGAAAAAAGTTCTTGCTTATAGTCAGAACAAATAGGGGTTTTTGATGACAGCAGACTCATGTTACTTAGCTTAAATAGATTAAATTGGAGGAAATCAAAAGCTTAATTTAAGAGGAAGACTTTGGACTTAAAGTGCAAATAACCTCCAAAAGTGGTGTCTTGATTAGCCTCATGCAGCTAACTTCTGTTTGTAATTTGAGCTTTTAAAATCTTTTTCGTAGTGTATATCTCTAATTCTAAAGCTTTATCTCCCTGGGAGATTTGCACAATGATTAAATACAGACTATATTCTGGAGGATGCAAAGGACTTTATTGGTCAGATGGATTAACATTATGGGAGAAAGCATTCCTTTGGGTATCTACTAGTTCTGGCCTCTTATCTGAGAATTTCTTTCTCTGATTTCTTTTTAATTTCCATTGCAAACTTCACTTCCCACCCTTCTTGTTTTATTGTTCTAATAGGTAATGAAATAGGAAAATACAACATTTTGCTAGCTTTAGAAAGAAAAACTTAAGTGTTAAAACATTTGCAGCCTCAAGACACCCCTGTATCTGTTATACCTACTGAACACTTTAGGAGTTTCATTCCAATGGGAACAGCTAAAGATATGTTTTCCTTTTCTCCTATAAATGCATAAAGCTCCTAGTGCTTGTAGGATTTTCACTTTCACTTGAATATCCTGATTCTGTGCAGGGTTGTGCATAGAAGCATGAGTAGTTTGATCTGAACCAGATGGCATCATCTTTATTGTTATGAGTAGCTTTCTAAAATGATCATACTTTCTAAGAAACTGACTCTCTTCTGAAGATAGTTCTCAAAACAAGAGTGTAAAACTGGCACTGAAACTTCTCAATTTGAGGTCTCTCACTTGTTTCGTTTCAGGTCATGCCACTAATCATGCACCACATCTTAGAAAAGAGGCCGTAACCTTAACTTTCCTGTTAACTTGGTGTTTTTGATTGGGTTTTTTTGTTTTGTTTTCAGAAAAATGAAGAAAACTGTGATAAAGCAATAGGTGAAATTGCTGACCATATTGGTAGACAAATGGCAGCTGAGGAGAAGGTACTAAATGGCCTTCTTGATCAGATAAAGGTTGATCAGGAAATACTTCTGGAGCAGAAGCTGGCACTTAATGAGGAAGCACGGTGTGGACAGACTCAGGTTAATGGTTTCTTGCAAGAGGATCTTAAAGTGGATATTCCAACAGGTATTTAAAGTAGGCTGGGGACAGAATGATCTTACAGAAAGCATTCTGAGTTGCAGAATTCATAAGAGGGTTAATGGGGGTTATAATATAACTAGCAGCCTTACACCTTTAAGGTGCACGCAAAGAATGATGACTGAACAAAACATGATATAACTCTATTGAGTTAATGTAAAATTGAGGATCTGTAATTAAAGCAATTGCTGAAAGTGTTTAATAGTGCCTTTCATTAGTGTACAATCTTCATTAAAGGGACAACTCCACAGAGAAGAGACTACTTCTATCCAGTCACGCTTGTGAGAACAGAGCCCCGGGAGCTTCTACTGGAGCAATTAAGGCAAAAGCAACCAAAACTTGATGCTATGCTAAACAGTGTGACAAAGGAGGTGGAGGATAATGCAGATCAGGTATGTGTATGAATGATAAATTAGGCTCTTCAATGAAGAATTCACATCTTTAGGAATTTTTTCATGCCGTTGCAGAGAGTTGACTAGAACCCCAGAGCTGTTGCAGCCTTTGTGTTTTACTGAGTCATGTGTGCTGAGCTTTTTGACAAAAACAATATCTTGAAAAATAAGAGAGTACATTAATTTATAGAGACTTTCATTTGTTTTTCAAAAATAGAAATGCCATGTCTTTTACATATCTGATCATGCTTAATACCTTCACCTAGGAAGTTCAGACATTAAATAGGTTTTTTTTGTAAATTATGTTTTAGGACCTGTTGGAAGAAGAGGAAAGGTTGCAAGACTCCAGTGAAAGCCTTTCTAGTGACAAATCCTTAGTCGATAGAAACATAAGCTGCCATGCAAATGGTGGCATTCCCTTTTTCCAGGTAACTTCCCCATGCATTCCAAACAGCTGTGTATTTAAGAGTGAAGAAAAAATATTGTTCCATAATAGTGCTGTAGTCTTAAGTCACCTCCTGTCACTTAGTGTAGTCTCACAACTTCCTTAAATCCCGTAGAATACACTTTGTTAAACTTGAGCTAAAATAACAGCAGATTCTGGTAACAGTTAACAGTAGATAAAATAATGCAAATTTCTGACAAGCTGGACAGACAGTAGAAAACTCTTCAGAAAATAATCCTGTATGAAAAAAATTGTCATAACTTACTAGACATTAACATGTGTTTTAACAGAAAAGTTGAAATTAGCTGTGGAGTATTTTCTTAGAGGCCAGACAGAAATATTAACATTCTTGATTCTTCACTAATTTTTTTTTTTACTTCTTTCCTTTTCACCCTCTTGCTCTACCAATGTATCAATGTAAACCCCTGGTATATTTGGCTTGCGGGGCGAGAGGGCTGTATTTACCTTTCATGGATCCCTTAAAAGTAGCTGCTGAACTTCCAGATGTCTGCAGTTAAACCTCTTTAGTAAATGCAATATTAGGAATATTTTTCAGGATTTTTTTCTTTCTCGGAACACTATATCTGCATTGTACATGAGCAAGTAGTCTTTAATTTCTTTGTATTCTTTTAACATGGATAATTTATTAGGCATTTTCTTTAAATCCCAGCACAAAAGGAGTCACAAAAAGGATAAGGAGAACAAATCTGCAGCTACAGTGGAGAAGAACAAAATGGAGGAGGTGACGGAACAGTTTCTTCCCAAATCTAAGCCTCCTTTAAGATCACTGAACTAAGCTATATCCACTCTAGATCCCTGTTTTGAAAAACTTAGGTCTAATTGTCTACTGAGCCATAACTTTGGTTATTCTCAGTCTCTGTATATAGTGATACCTTGATGCAAAGTTGGATCAAAAGACTGGCCTGCCAGATGTCCTGCCTTTGTCCCATTTTTATACGCTTTAGCTTGTAAAGTATTAACAGACTTTAAAAAAAAAAACAAACCACCCTGCAGATTATGGTGCTGTGTGTTAAATAGACTTTTATGTTGTCAAGTAAGAGATCCTTCTCTGTTTCTCAGTAGATTTAAAACAGAGCAGAAAGGGATGTGGAAAAATGCTTTGTCGGCAATACAAGCTACCATTTTATTTTTTTAATTACCTGTAAATAAGAGTTCTGATTTTGTACCTGCTTTTCAGTCTGATTCCTGTTTCTATGAAGTAGATAGCTGTCTTTTTACTGGGATACTTCAACTAAATCATTGAGAGATGGAAAGCAAATGTATAAGCACCTCCCTCAGAGTAAACCAAGCTTACATGACTAATTTAGCAAAAACATTAGCAGCTATGTCATAAGTCTTGTGCTGTCAGAAAAGGATGGTTCCCTCCCTTCTTTTATAATAGACAATAGCTTTATTTCAGTGCCTCTTCTGTATATGAAAGCTAGTCTCACTGCTGGGTTTGGGGTTTCTTTGGTTTTTGTTTTGAACCCACTGTTCTTATCTTCCTCTTAACCTGCAGCTGAGATGTGTTGGTTGGATATGATGATGTCAACCACAGCTTATGTATTGTAAACTGGTAGCATTTCTTTTAAGATGTAGATACTTAACATTAAAACATGCAAACTTGGTTACAAATGCAGCTCCTATGTTGTAAAATAACAGTGATTTCTCGGTATTTGACAGTAGCGCATGACCAGCTGCTCTTTTCATGCTGCTTACCTGAGAATTTGAAGAAAACTTCAAGCTATGATGTGCTAAAAAAAGTAGATGAATAGAGTTATGATAGGAGTGGGGACAGACACTGGAAGGCAGCCTTAACTTACATTGAAGCCCTATTCTTAGCTAATCGTCAAAACATGATTTAAGAGATTGTTCACTTTTCTATAGCTTGCAGGCTCAAGCTGATCTTTCTTCAAAGGAGTGGTCCATATGACTATTTGTCTTTGAGCAAGTATGCCAACTGGATATACTTTGAACATCATTCAGACAGCACACTGCCATCCTGATGATGGATGTAATTTGAAGTATGCCCTTGCACTGATTCTCTGAACTGTAGCGTTAGATCATTAATCAGTTGTGTTTGTCTGAAGCACCTATCTTACCTCTTATTTATCCTAAAAGCTAATTGTTTTTTCTTAACAGCCTGATAGGAGGAGGGAAAGCATTAATTCCCTTTCAAATTAGTAAGAGACATGAATATGGATTCTTATTTTTTTTATTTATTCTACGGGGGTGCTATGATACCTTGGTACCTAGCTTATATACCAAATCTTTCTATTGTTGTAAGGGACTTGAAACACTGGCAGCTGCAGGACTGTCTCCTTCAGAGCGTGTTTGGCATATTGTCAAATTCTGGCACCAGAAACTTAATGGACTTAAGAACTCTCCGTGGCCATTTTCTTGCACCATGTGCTTGTTAACGCTGACTAGTTATTAGCATGTTTTTCCCAGACTGTTCAAGAAATCATTTACTGACTTAAAATGCAACTAGAAGAGCTGATCCCACAGCTGTGTATTGGAGTGGCCTAAGCCAAATGCGAGACGCTTGTGCAAGCCTTCACCCTACTACTTCATTTTCTGTATGGAGTTCACAAGATCAGTATGTATGAACAAACTGGACCAGCCAGTACCTGAGGAGGGTCGCATCCATAAAATTATGTCAGAATCTGTGCTTCCTTGCTTTATCCCCTTTGTCTACCTTAGCTATTTGGTTTCCCCTGGTACAGGCACAAGCTGCTTTCCTGATAAGGGGGAGCCTTAACAGCTGTATGTATTTCATGGACTGCTTGCATGCTTTCTCTTTTCATAAAGTACACCTCAGAGTCATGTTTTCCTTTGTTTGCAGTACAGGCATGGCAGATCATTGTTTCATTGGCCCTGGTGTCCAGAGGTCACACCAGAAAGCTGAATAGGATGAAAAATCCGGATGTAGAACCTGTCTTGGCTTCTCTGTCAGTGTCTCTTCTCCCACTAGATGGCTCTAACACTAAAGTGTTAGTCCAAAGCTCGAGTACTGGTCACTAACCACAACTTAGAAACAATAATTTTGCCAAGCCTTTTGTCAAGCATCTGCTAAAAGAACAGGTTTCAAAAACTAGCATCGAATTTATGATTCCACGAGGATAATTCTATATTCAAGCTTGGGTGAGGGGTTGTTCTGAAGAGCTGCATTTGAGAAAAAGATGATCCAACCTATGGCTTGAACTTTGCTGCGGGCCGATAGACACTCTCAATAACTGAATTCTTGTCCTGACCTGCTCTCTGGGTTCCTGACCATGTGGGCATTGCCCAAAGTAGAAAGCAACACCTATATATTTTGGTATATTGTACAATGTATGAGAGAAGGAGAGAAGGAGGGTAAGAAAAATAAAGCAAGAGTTGTTTCTTGTACATAGTCACTAGATTCGCAGAGAGAAGAAATGGCATGGTCCAGGCTAGCTTATGTGGTGGTTTGAATTTGCTGTGTTATAAGGCATCCATTTTAAGGAGGGTAGGAAGCCATTTTCACAGGATAAACAGCAAGGTCATACCCTGACTGAATTAGTCCAGCTGAGCGTGAGGGAGCGTGGTGGTGGCTGGGGCTGTAGTATATGGCTGTGTTCTTATTAACTTGATGAGGTTTTTTGGATTCTGGATTAGTGGCCAAGTGGGACAGTCCTTGATTTAACAAAAAACCTGGGTGGGATGAATGCAATGTGGGGAGCTGAAATGAGGAAAGATGAGAGTTTAAATGCATGTAAAGGGAGAATGCAGAGAGCACCATGAGAGGGCTGTGGGAAGCACAGATAATTAGAGCCACCAGCTTCCTTTTCAAGTGACAAATGAGCAGTTAGGAGGAAACAAAGGAAAGGAAACTTCCTGCTTCCTCCTGGAAATCGGTGAGCTGCAGCACCTACTGCACCATAGTTGTTGGAGGATGCAATGTTTATTTGAAGAGAAGAAAGATGACCAAGCTGACTGGCTGCTGTGGACAGCTGGGTTTATTCTGGGTATCAGAAGCAATTGCATGGGGCTAGAGAGGAGTGAGGAGAAGGCGGGTAGTTGCTAGACTGCCTTTATTCATTCTGTTAGGCGTCAGTCACCATGGCAATCGTCTGTTAAATAGGTAGAGGAAACAAGAGGTAGCCTATAGCTCTTCAGGGTGATAAAAGAAAAAATAAAGCTAGAAGGAACTGGAAAAATAAAATTGAAGTTTAACATTCCTTTTCCGTCAAAAAGATTGCAGGGGAAAAAAAGAAAGAGTTCTAATGTTCCAGAGCACTAAAAACAGGAAAAAAGAAATACATTTTAAGATACATAGTTGGTAATTATATTTAAACAAGTGTTTACAACCATTTGACAACTATTTTTCTTCTTTCCCTGGTAGAAACTACATTTTATGGTAGAGGAAAATGCTCTATAAACTGCATGCCCACCCATGCAGTTACTTTATAAAGTTAAATAACAATAAATCGTGCTAGGCTTTGCATTAGTAGGCTTTTTATGTAACATACTATCACAGGTGAGATGCAGACCACCTAGTAAAGTAGGCTGTTGTTGTAGGTTGAACACAAACTTGATCCACAGCAGCATTGCTATGCTCCATCTTGAAATGTTAAAAGTATGAACACAGTGCAGCAAAGTGAATGTTTAAATCCCTGTGTTCTGAGTACTTCTGAAATCATCTTTGGTTTCCCTAGTAAAGGGAAACCCTAGCTACCGAAAGGAGGGCACCTTACAGCTACACATGTGCCCTTTGGGCAGATAGAGGAGCGAATGCTCAGTTCCAGCAGTCTCTTGTCAGGGAAGAAGCTGGAAATGAGCTGCCATTTTTTATATGTGGTCTGAAAAGTGTTCCATACTTCCAGATTTCTAGAACTTAATGAGAAGACTGATGGCTCTCAGGCAGCACAAAGTTAGATTTTGTAAAATAATGGAGATAACTGGATTGTTTCCTTTTTCTCCAAAATATGAAGCCTATATAAATGTTCCATTGACTTCCTTAGTTATACTTGAAATGCTGTTGTGATTCTTGGTCTGTTCGTAACCTAAACATTGTAATTCAAAGAGTGAGGCACAATGACTGAAACTTCGAACTTGACTATTGTGTTTTCTTTATTAAAAATGACCAAAATGTAAGAATGAAATAAACAGGAATATGACATAAAAGGACATTAGATTTTTTCAGATCTTTCCAGGTGTAATCATCTACGGTTGTTGATAACATAGAGTTCTGACTAGAATTTTATTCTGATAATGTCCAGAGCACTAAAGCTACTATGTGAAGATGTTTTTCATGTGATAAGGAATTGTATTTTCACTGGCAGAAGTTAATTTTTAAATAATATATTTTTTCCTAATTAACACAAGTTTTGCAAAGTGAAGAATAACAATTGGCAGGAAACATTTAAAATATGGTCTTTTAGCATTTATGACAAATACTAAACAAAACAGATTAGATACATGGTAAGATACTTCTCCCCAGCTATTCGAGTTACGATAATGAATGCTGCTTCTCAGAGGACTGATTTCCCTGCTGCACAAGTCCAGTCTCACATGGGGCTAATTCTGCTACAGTCACTTGATTTATGCCAAAGTACTGAGGTGAAGGATCAGATTCTCTTTTCCAAAGTACATACTGAGTTGATAATGATGCTTAAAAAACAAAACCACAAAAATCTAAGGGCCCTGTTTGATCTAAATCTAAGGCCCTATTTGGGCTCTGTGGCCAAAAGATTTCATGGCTTTTAGAAGGGTTTGTCTAGGAAAGCCTGGGAGTTGTTTTCATCCCTAATTCTGTGTGTTCTTTCATGGGTGCTTCAAGCACACCTGCTTCCCCTACTTTGTAAAATGACTTTGGGATCTTTCAGGATAGGTACAATGTTATGGTTCTGCTGTTAGACAGTTGTCCCTGAGTGTGGTGGGCATTATATCATGCTGGTGTCCTTAGGCACAGTGTGTATCCCAGGAGGAGGAACGTTTGAGACCTCCAAAGGATGGCATGGATATCCCCTGTCTTCTGGACCATAACTTCATGCTGAGTCTGAGCACCACTACTCCCACTTTGGAAGTAGAAACTTGTAGACATGTTTCTGAGGGAGTAAATTCCAATATTTTTTGGTTTTTTGGCACGAGCTTAAGTAACCCCTGTCATACGTAAAGACTGTTGGGGGAAATTGGTTTTTCATGTTTCAATTAGCTTCCTCTAACACTCAACCCAAAACATAAGCCGCATTATCATTGTGTTCAGAAGCTAAAGGAAACAAAGTGAATCGCTTATCATTTGTTATAGTTACCATCTTCCATGACTTAATTAAAATACGACATTAATTTCAAAACCATTCAGCTATAGATATATACTCAAATGGTTATAACACCATAATGACAAGCGCCAAAATTTTGCTCATTCACTCTAACAGTTTATTTTAGGAAACTCAGTCCAGCAGATGAACCTTGAATATACAGATTAACGCAAGGAAGGAAATTTTATGATGTCTGTTAGTTAATACAGAAGCCAATCTTATTAATCATGGATTTACAGAGGGCTGTTTTATTAGATGTTAACCATAGCTTATGTTGACAATTGATTTTCATTGTAGGACAACTAAATTTGTTATTTGTAATAAGAAAGATAATTAAATTGACTTTATAAAGGTTACTATCATAAATGTTAGTACCTGTGAATAGCAAACATAAAACTGCTTTAGCAGCGAAAACTCAGTTAAGTGACAGGTGCTTTATTTCCATTACATTTAATAGTCCCTGAATATTTTTAGCCTGCATTTTATTTTCCAGAGTTTATACCCACTGCTGTGAAAAACTGTTTGGGCTGAAGCCTCACTTTCAGTTTATTTTCTGTCCAAGAAAAGAGGATCAAAACATTTTAAAGTGATAGAAATAAACGAAAACAAAGCACTAAGTACAAATGTATTATGCGAAGGAGTTTTGCTCTGTCATTTCTCAGATTTGTCATTAAATTACTCAGAATAGCATGTTGAAAAAGATACTGGGTCTACAGTAAAATCTGACTTTGGGAGGGGTTAAGTACTAAAAAGAGTAATTATTAAGGAACTTAATTTGGACCTTGCAAAAAATGAGTACTTTGAACTTATTTAATCTTTTTTAATTGTATTGTTTTTATGATACATATCTCCACTCCTCAATGCCACCCATCCATCTGGGTACAACCTTTTGAAAATGTGGAGGAATACAGCAAATGTTAGAGACCTTGGAAAAGCACCTAAAGTAATAACTTCAAACCTAACGACAGTACATTCCTGAGCTTTGACAACGTGGGAACTATCCAGAACAAAAGTAATTCTATCAGAACACTCACAGTGTGGTTTTACTGGAACATTAATCTTTGGTTTCTAGTTCTAATTTGCCATGACATTTCAGGCTTGTAACTTGTCATTGCTGCTTGGTGGTTTGGACCAGTAATGAAAGGAAAGAGGGAGTACTTCAGGAAGGCTCTTTTAAACTCCAGTGTAAGACTGAATATTTGATATTAATGAAATACACTTGGCTGCAGGATCTTTGTATTATTAGAGCTAATTGCAATGAGTCCTTTCATGGGTTTGCAGCTTGTGGAAGGAAGGGTTAGCTAGATGGCAGAGGGCAGAGGAAGAGAGCAGCACATCGCAAGAAGCACAGTTTACCAGAGATGTTGGGTTGCTGGGCTGCAACATAGATGCCAGCCCAGTGTGTGTGTTATATTCAGTTTATAACTTGGCAAATCAGCTTGGTGCCCAGAGCAAAAAGCACTGAAATTTTTTGTGACTTAAGTTGATGGCCCATTTCCCTGTGGCACTGATACTGGTGCAGCCTGCTCTAACAGAAGAGCTGTAAAACACTTTGTGCCATTGCATTTCTGACACTTTGCTGTTCTTGTGTGGACCCTCCTGATGATCTGATCCCAGAGCTCTTCGCTGCTTGCTCCAAGGGTAAGTACGGATCTGGCACT